GGTGAAACCCTGTCTCTACTAAAACTACAAAAAATTAGCCGGGTGTGGTGGCGGGCACCTGCATTCCCAGCTACTGGAGAGGCTGAGGCAGGAGAATGGTGTGAACCTGGGAGGCGGAGCTTGCAGTGAGCTGAGAATGCGCCATTGCACTCCAGTCTGGGCGACAGAGCGAGACTCCGTCTCAAAAAACAAAAAACAAACAAAAAAAAATGTGCGGGATTGTTCATCCTCGGGAGGCACTATATGCCGTTATGGGGGTGACAGCATCCCATATGCCATGCAAAGAAAAAGCCATATCCCAGTAAAGAGAGGTGCTGGAATGTGATGTCAGAGCACACCTGTGTTGCAGGAGAGCTAAACAAGTCTACTGCAGTTAAAGAAATGTTTAAAATACCTTGCAGCAAGTTTTTCATTGAGAGCACGTACTCTGACCAAAGATCGTGACTACTTGGTGTGCGTGAAAGTCATATTTTTAGAATGCCATGAAAAATGGAGAAGTATATGAAAGGCATTCTAGCTTTAGGAAATAATGGTAGTAGGGATTTTAGATTAAAGACATAATAAGATCTGCCTAGGCAGAGTGAAGAGAGACAGTTTAGTAGTGAAAAATAAGGTTATCAGACAAGTAAATGGCAGGCTGGAAAATAAAAATGTATCATTTGAATGGCAGGGAACCATTGCCAGTTTTTCAAAAAGCAAGATATTGAAATACCCTCTTCATCATTTAACTTGATCGTTAAAGGAGTGATCCAAGTGATCCTAGAGTTCTAGTGACAATGGAAGGAAAAATTGTAGTAGTCCCACTTGAAGATTAGGGTCCAATTTATGAATTTATTTCAGGGATTGAGGTTCGAGTGTAGTTTAAATATAAAATGAAGAACCAGACAGCTCTACTTCAAAATTGGATGCAAGTAACAAAGGACAAAGAATAGTTGCAGACTCGATTCTGTTCTGTGGAAGGCAGACATAATGTTCTGTGATTGAGATCTTGGAATTTGGGGTGATCGTGGGGGTAGAGTGGAAATAAAGCCCTTTTTTCACCATGTTAGGTAGGAAGGGTGATGAAGTATCTAAATTGTGTAGTTAAACTAAATCAAGCAGATTTGGAAAGGTGCTGTTCTCAACGGATAAAGACCTGACCATAGGAAGGAATCCATTGTTGAGCCCTGCAGGAGGCCTTCTACCTGGGGCTAGCGCAGAGCTCTGGAGGAGCCATAGGCAACCACCTCCTCCCGTCTCTCACTCTGAATCCAGGTGTTACCACTACGGAAAAGAATCCAATCCTAATGCTGAGGAGGAAGTGGTTCTTACAGATATGATAGGCCAAGATTTCCACCTCTCAGAAATCAACAGAGTTGCATTGTGGAGTTGAGGGGAGAAAGGTTGGCCACTTGAGCTGTGACCTGGGGGTAGGAAAGAGCTCCTGATTCAAATGTGAGCTAGCAGGAAAGAGACACCCCCTCCCTCCAAAAAGTGATACGACTTCTTTCTTAGCAGAATTCCAGAGCTCTGAGTGAGAGAGGGACATAGTGACTCTTTGCTCTAACTCCTGGATTTTGCTGGTCACCTGTGGGCTAGAAGGAGTTGGAGCTGGTGGCTTGGCAGGAGAAGGCAGGAAGGACATTGCTTGGGCATACTCAGCCCTGTGCTAGTTGAACCACTTCCCGCATACCCTAAAGGCCACATGCCTTGCTATGGTTGCAGAGCCCAAGTCTGCTCTAATCTCAGTGTTTTACCTGCATTTCAATAGTACTTCTCACTTCATGCTTCAGGAAGTGCTTGGCCAAGACACCCTATATCTGTTGGTATAATAGACAGCCACCTAGCATGTAGGCTACATGATAATTGTTTTGTTGGAGTTCTAGGATAGCAAGGAGATGGAGAGATGAGGAAGATACCCATATTACAGAGGAAGAGTTACAGCGAGGCCCCTACGCTCAAAGAACTTAAAATTCTCATGGGTGCGTCAGACACTGAACAGGCAAACTTTTAAAAGAAGAAAACATAAATGGACTACTCAGATGTTGTGAAAGGTGCTCTAAAGACAAAGTGCAGTGGTGAGTTGGGTGGGAGGCTGCCTGGTCAGGTAGATGGCACAGGTGTCTATGGTCATTAACATTTAAGCTGAGACCCAAAGGGTGGGGAGCATCTGGCCAGGGGAGAGCCAGTGGGAAAGCATCCAAGGAAGAAGAGCAGTCAGTGGTCAGTGGGAAGGTGGACGCAGTGACAACTGAAAAGATTTGAGACTTGAGAAGACCAGTTTGATGACTGCAGTGGCCCATGCAGGATGTGCTGGGTCATGCACCAGGGCAGCATTGACACATGACGCAAAGAAAAGACATCTCTGACTCAGCGAAAGTCAGGAAAGTGAAACTCACAGCAAGTATGAGTGGAAATTCTTCTGTTCTCTAGTTGGAAGTGTTGACTGGGGGAGCTTGTTGAGAGTCTTGCTTGGGGCTTATAACCTGTTTTCTCTGAGAAGGCTAAAACAAGCTGTTGTCCTGAAGAGACAGGTAGCTGGAAGTGGTAGGGAGCTAGAAAGGTGGAGAGAGAATGTGGGATAATTGCTGTATGGAATGGAAAAAGGCCTAAGAAGCATGCCCAGCAGACAAAGCATAGAATCTGCATGCCCGTCCACATAGTGTTGTAATTTTTCCTCCAGCGAGGCCACCACCCAATCTTTGGGTAGAGGAAGCAGGTGGAGAGGCTGTTGGAGCTTTTCTGGGTGGTTGAGACAAGACAGGCAAGGAGGCTAGAGAACTGGTGGTGTGGGCAAGTGATGCTGATGATCAAAGCACAGGAAGCCAACAGACAGAGATTTAGACCCAAGAAGGGAGCTTGAGGTACAAGAAAACCTCAGAGTAGACAGGAAGGAGGCGTGGTGAAAGTGATGAGAGGGAAGAGTAGAAGGGTGGTCCAGGGTCAGACAGGGAGTTAGATTTAATCCTTCAGGGCACTTTCATTACATCATAGCTGCCATTTTGTCTTTTATCTGACTCAGTAATAAGTAATGTTTTCATTAAAGGGAAGTGCTTGGCAGGTAGGTTAAACTTCGTTGAGTTCTGATCCTGTCATAATTATTGTGTATACCTTTCTCAGCTTTTTGTCTACTTGAGACATATTTCTTCTTTTGTCCTTTGAGCAGCCAAAATGGAAGTGTTGGATGTGTTGGCTCTGTTGGTAGGCTCCTGTTGGATGCCTGTTGTCACTCATAAATGTAACACCACAGCCATAATTGATGGAGAGTTGAGTTGCAAGCTTTTAGGACTAATTGCAAAGTCTAAACTAAACCATTTCCTGGCGCTGCCTTTAAATAATAATAATAATACCTTGTATAGATATAGTGCTTTACAATTTACAAAGCACTTCCACATCCATCATCTCATTTAATCTTCACAATAAACAATGCTTTTTGAATGCTTAGATCTTTCCTAAGTGAGAAATCATGTTGCACATCCTGCTTTAATCATAGTGAGTCGCCAAAAGTTCTTGATACAATAACCATTTATGGAGTACCTTCTATGTACAAAGCACTTTACTAAGGATACCAAGGGGTAAATTTTCAGTAAATAAATATCCAGTAAGTAGTACCTATCAGTAAATATGATCTTGCCTCCTAATTTACGTTCCCTTCCTAGTCACAATCACTATTTTGGAGGCTACTTGCTATGCCATAAATTTATATAAATATTGCCAGGAATTCATTGTATCAGAGTTGAAGTTTTAAAACTAAGGATTCTGATACTTGTCTAAGCTTATGATTCGTCAGAAAGCCATCTTGTCTATTTCAACTTGCACTTTTCTTGAAGATTATTACTTGAATCTCAAGAAAAATATTTCAAGGCCTCAGCATATCTGAAAATGCCAGTCATTGAGTTCAGTGTCCTCATTGGAGTGATTTGGGTACAACTTGGCCAAAAAAAAAAAAAAAGAGTACAATTTGGCAAAAAAAAAAAAAGGTATAACTTGGTACTTGGTTCCAGAAGGCTTATTATTCATTAAAATAGAAGACATGCCCATCTCTGGGCTCTACTGGCCAGACTGGGATGCTTTGAGGAGACAGAGGACTTCCTGGGAGGCTGCCCTCTGGGTGAGGGGGAATGGAAGGTCATATTGGAGCTGGGCCCAATCCCAGGGCAAGAATCCTGAACCTGTGTCCTGGAGTCCCCCAAAGGTCCAGGCGTGTCTTCTGGGCCACCATGGCTCTTCAGAGGATACACAGACTTTGATGTCTTATTCAAGATCCTCCAAATGTAGAACCCCCAAAATAATAGGAACCCTGCCATCAAAGTCCCGTGGTCAGAGTAGCTCCGTGAAAGTGAGCGGTGTGACCTGCAAACCATGATTCCTTCTCCCGTCCGGGGCTGGAGGAGGCCCCAAGGTCTGATGTTGAATTTCAGCTGAGAAACCTCTTTTGTTGATGAAACGCAGGTGGTCGTCAGGGGTGCTGATGATGAGTCGGGTCCCCTTGGTGCAGCCGTTACCTCCCCAGCCATCTTCCTGCTCCTTGTTTGACACCTTCATATTATTAATTCGCATGTTAACACTAGCTCTCACTCACCTATTTACATGAGCATGTGGTTTGGGAATTGGGGGAGGACAAAGCCAGATCCTAAATTTTTTTTTTTAACTAGTGTATACATTCTTGGACATAGATTTTTAGGAATATTTTCCCATGATAACATCTTTTTAAATAACAGGTTCTGTGTTTTACGAGGGAGGCTAATGTCTGTATTGCCGAACTCTCTCTTGATTCTTTTGATGCGGAGTTTAGAACTCGTCCTTCTTGGTGTCGGGCAGATGTGCCTAATGCTTTGTTTTGACAGAGGATGTGCGCTCAGCATCTGAGCATCCCATAAATACTCCAGAGAGGAACATAATTAGGATACAGTGTGGTGCTGGGAGATTGAGCGTTGGTTGAGTCTAAGTGATGTTTCCGACTGGGGCTGGAAACGTGCTTTATGTAATTGTATTCTGATCATTGAGGTCTCTCTTTATAGGGCATCTTTTATGACCAAGACTGTCCAGTACCAAAATGAGCTACATAAATTCCTAATCTGGGATACAGCTGGACAAGAACGAGTAAGTCACTCTTTAATTTACTCTGTTTCTCTGAGGCCCAGATGAAAGTTCCAACTAAACTGTCAGCATCCCTGTCATCTCACGTTACTCACTTCTCTTCTGTGCACCGGAAACACATTTATTTCCATTTGCGTAGGCCAGCCTTTGCCTTTGCCTTTTCAATTAGAGCCACAGAGTCCCCCGATGGAGAAAGTGATAATGGGCACTGAAGGCATTTTTATGCCTTATAGTGTCTTAAAGTAAATGCTGACCAACAGACCTGATAAAATCCCACTCAGAGCACTGTGTATAATTTGGGGCTCCCTCCTCTAGTAAGGATATATAAAGCAATTGGTGATAGGGTAAGTTAAGCACAACTCATTTATCGCTGCCTTTTAAAAGCTAAAGAGGGAACTTTACAGCATATAAAGTGTGAGATTTAAGTGAAAAGGATAAGCTAACACAGTGCCTTGCAGTAGATACTTAATAAATGCCTGATGACAAAATTGGCCACAATGGTTATCTACTTAAGGAAAAGCCTGAACCAGAAGTGGGGCCTGGACATAGCAGCACGGGGTCTAATGGAATTTGGGGAAGCCCACCCAAATCAGAAATGGCCGGGAAGGCAGGGCTGGGGCAGACACTTCCGCCTACTCCCCTTTACTCTGGATTCTAAGACACATCCGCTGCCTCCCCTTTCCTCTGGGTACTAAGACACATCTGCCGCCTCCTCCCCTTTCCTCTGGGTCCAGACACTTCCGCCTCCTCCCCTTTCCTCTGGGTCCAGACACTTCCGCCTCCTCCCCTTTCCTCTGGGTCCAGACACTTCCGCCTCCTCCCCTTTCCTCTGGGTCCAGACACTTCCGCCTCCTCCCCTTTCCTCTGGGTACAGACACTTCCGCCTCCTCTGGGTCCAGACACTTCCGCCTCCTCCCCTTTCCTCTGGGTACAGACACTTCCGCCTCCTCCCCTTTCCTCTAGGTACTAAGACACATCTGCCGCCTCCTCCCCTTTCCTCTGGGTACTAAGACACATCTGCCGCCTCCTCCCCTTTCCTCTGGGTACTAAGACACGGGTCCAGACACTTCCGCCTCCTCCCCTTTCCTCTGGGTACTAAGACACATCTGCCGCCTCCTCCCCTTTCCTCTGGGTACTAAGACACATCTGCTGCCTCCCCTTTCCTCTGGGTACTAAGACACTTCCGCCTCCTCCCCTTTCCTCTGGGTACTAAGACACATCTGCCGCCTCCCCTTTCCTCTGGGTACTAAGACACATCTGCTGCCTCCCCTTTCCTCTGGGTACTAAGACACATCTGCTGCCTCCCCTTTCCTCTGGGTACTAAGACACATCTGCTGCCTCCCCTTTCCTCTGGGTACTAAGACACTTCCGCCTCCTCCCCTTTCCTCTGGGTACTAAGACACATCTGCCGCCTCCCCTTTCCTCTGGGTACTAAGACACATCTGCTGCCTCCCCTTTCCTCTGGGTACTAAGACACTTCCGCCTCCTCCCCTTTCCTCTGGGTACTAAGACACATCTGCCGCCTCCCCTTTCCTCTGGGTACTAAGACACATCTGCCGTCTCCTCCCCTTTCCTCTGGGTACTAAGTCCAATTTCCCTTCCAAGGTGTCTCTGGCAGCCACCCCATTATTCAGCAGCCGTTTAATTTAGTTTTCAAACAATACGATCCAAACAGCACATCTGATAGATGCACGGTGCTATCTTAAGCTCTTAAAAGTGTACCAGAAGTAATCAGGAAAAATAGTCTGTCATCACAGCCTTATCTAAGACGCCATAGATAGTGTGTGTAGTATGAAATCTGACAAGAATCATCACAGACAAATGGAGGAAAACAAAACAAGCCATTACTGTTGTCCTAGACATAGACTCCATGCATTTGTACACACTTAACGTCTTAAGTTTGCTCTGTTTGGTTTCTTCTGTTTTTAACACTGGATGTTGTTCCTCTGTCCCATTACTCATCTGAGATACTTCTGCTTCCCATCTTCCACTCCCCATTCCTTCTCCTTTGCTCCATCTAGAATGGAGCATTTAGAACAGCCGGACCTTTGCTAACCATCCCTCTTCTGTCCTTCAGAAGTGTGTTGCTTACCAGAATCCTCCTGAATATATCTGTAGACACAGCCCTGGGTTCTTTCCCTCTTAGCCACAAATCCATGTGGCCCTTCCTACTAGTAATATATGTACCCTCCACTAAATCCCAAGTTTCAATTACCCCTCACATATATTTGATGATACAGCAAAGCCCTCATCATAAAGAATCATGCTGTAATACAGATTCCATTATGCTTTGAATCAGAGCCTGTCCTGGTATACGCAGTGATGTATAACATCTCTTTTTTTCTGAAACACACAAAAAAATAACACAAGGGTGTTTGCCTCTTTCCCTTTCTGCCAGCATGGTAGCATAAATCTGTGAAGTTTTATATTTAGCTGGTTTTCCTGCCTCTTGCTTGTCCACTTCTAATTGGTTCTGCAACAGGAGTAGTTGCTCTGAGATGCAAACCTGCCTCCAGCCTGCCTGACGCACTATCACGCAGCCCAGAGCTGCACAGGAGATGCTCATGGGGCCAGGCCACAGGCCAGGGGTGCTGACCAGGAGGCCCTGCATGAAGAAGGCAGGAGAGGAGCACCACCTGATGAGCACTCACTCCAGCCAGTTGTTGCTGGGCATGAGCACATGTCCAGGCTGGCCAAAGTGCAGTGCTAAGGAAAGCCACACACCTGACAGCTACCCACAAATTGTTTGAAATGCTGGGAGGATCACACAAGACACATCTTGTAAGCCTGCCTGGGTCAGGGACTGCCTGTTTATCCTGGCAGTGCAGTGAAGGTCCAGAATGTGCCATCCACAGCCAGGATCTATTTTCACCTCCTCCCACCAATCTGTCCTCTAGCACAAACTGCGTGCATTCTCCAGCATGCCATAGTTTCACGCCCTCATGCCCTTCCACAACTCTATTCAGCCTTCAGAACCCACCTCTGATGTCACCTAAAGGGGGCTTTCCTGCCATCCCTGCTCTCGGACAAGAAACCACATCGCCACACTGCTGTGTTGCTCAGACCCACATCTGGAGGTATCCCTGGGTTCCTCCCTCGCCCTCAGCGCTGGACACCTGCTCCATCCGGATGTTCTGACAGCTTCATTCTCTAAATGTATCACACTTGGATTCACTTCTCCGTCTCCACTCCCAGCGCCCTGCTCTCAGCCACCTTGGCCATTCACTGAGTACTTTAGCCTTTTCATGGGTCCCCTGCTTTCCCTCTGTCCATTACATGTCCTCATAGGACCCAGAGGAATGATCTGGAAACAAAAATCAGCCCGTGTTATCAGCCTGCTTAATATTCTTCAGCGACTTCCCGCTGCACATCTCATAACAACCACACTCTGAACAGAGACCTCTCAAGCCCCACGTGACTTGCCCAGACCTGCCTCTGGGCTCCTCTCTTCTCAGGGCCTCCAGCACTCCTTGGCCTCATGCCTCTGGATACACTGTTCCTTCTCACCAAAACTCTCTGTTCCCTCCACTGGAGCCCAGCTGGCTCCTTTCCCGTCTTTTAGTCTCAGGTTAAATGTGACACACTCAGAGTTTTCTCTAAACCCCCTGCATCTAAGCAGGGCCCCAACTTTGTTCTTCATTACTGCCCTTACTTGTTTTCCTCAGAACATGCATTAGAAATTGTCCTTAGATACCTGTCTACCTACCTTCATTGACAGAATCTCCCATCAGACTGTAACTCCAAGAGCTGGGACCACAGTGTCTTGTTCACTGCTGTACCCCAGGGCCAGCATGGTGCCTGACCTAGAGCTGATGTTCAGATATTGGTTGGTTGGTTGAATCAGCACATAAACTCTTTGGAGTATTCCTTTGTATCCTGAAGTCTTTGATTGCACTCATCCATGGGATTGTCACCTATTTCCTTACCTGTCTGCCTTTCGTTAGACTGTAAGCTCCTTGAGGGCAAGGACTGCCTTCATGTCTCTGCTCTCAGCCCCTGGCACATGGTATTGATGCCCGTAGGTTTATGTCTACTGATTGCCAGCCCTACTTAGACACAGATAAGGACAGCTCCTCTACCTACTTTTACCATGTGAGTAGTGCATGACTCAAACTATAAATTTCTGGCGTTGTATGTTTATTATTCTTTGTAGTTAGGAGATTTATTGTAGAACCAGAATTGTCATAAAATGAAAACCCTTTTGATGAACTGACTATTCAAACACCCTCCCCAACCTCCCCATTTGACATCTCGTACTGCACATACTTTTGGCAGATGGGTTGTCTTTCTGATGGTCCAGCTACATTTGATTGCAAAGTGATTTCATTAAGTCAATGAAAGTGATTTTGGATAATTTCTCAAATGTCCTGTGAAGCCCTTGACGGTAGGGATCTTGTTAACTGAAATGAAGAAGAAGAATACTGCTCAGGATGATGATATGAGTGCTTCAGAAGATAATGGTTTGTGTATCAAAGGGTTAAGAGGGGCCTAGGGAAAATTGATGAAGCCCTCAAATATTTTTGTAAAAATTTGTCATTTTTATGATAAGACTATGAAAGTCAAACATGAAATGAAGGATATCGTATTGTGCTAGCATGTAGTTTTATCAGAAAACTCCTAGCCAAGTTATCAATCAAGTTCGACTCGGTGTTCATCCAGAAAATTAACTCCTGGCTGCAACAATAAACCTAAGGTTTTTCAAATACCAGATAAAATTAAACTTGATTTTACGATTTTGAATTTATCTTCTCAAGATAGAGCCTTTGTGAGACCATTTTGTCCCTATTATTTGCTATCTTGAATGAATGCATTTGAAGTCACCCTTTCTCCACCAATGATCCTTCAGTAACAAAGACTCCTGCAGTAGTATTGAGACAGACACAACACATACATTCAGAAGCATCATAAAGACACCATACATGTAGTAAGAACATACCAAATGCTTGCCGTCTGTATGTGATTGTATAAAAGAAAGTTTCTTGGCCAGGCATAGTGGCTCACGC